ACCCATTTGCACTAGTCAGGTGATCTTGAGGACACAGATAAACCTCCAGGTGATCTTAATGACCTGCTAAAAGAATGCAGATGACCAGCTGTCTCGGAGGAGTATAAATCCTTCCATTCCCCACCATTCAGTCAGAGTTGAAGAAGCTGAAGAAGCTTCTTGGGTGAGAAATGAAACGTCTTCAAAGAAAAACCAGAAAGTCCAGTTGCCTCTTGAAAAAGCACCGTTGGGACTAAGACCTGGATGCAGGGGTGAAATGTAAATTTGTTACTACCGGTTCTGTGGGCGTGACTTGGTGTGTGTGTGTGTGGGGTAATATGACTGGGTGGACGTGGCCAACTTTTCTTTTTTTTTTTTTAACTTTTCAAAGCATTTTTTCTAATGCTTTGAAAAGCCTCTCTGACGATCAGGCAACTCAGCTGGGATCATCAGAGACTTTTCAAAGCATTTTTTTTACCACCTCTTCGGCCAAGAGGTTGCAGAAAAAAATGCTTTGAAAAGCCTCTGACGATCCCAGCTGAGCCGCGCAATCATCAGAGGCTTTTTTTTTTTTACTTTTAAAAGCATTTTTTCGTTGGAAGAGGTTGTAGAAAAAATGCTTTTAAAAGTAAAAAAAAAAAAACCCTCTGATGATCGTGCGGCTCAGCTGGGCATTGGGGGGCGGCGCGCAGGGATTTTTGCTATCGGTTCTCTGAACCACCCGCCGCCATCGCTACCGGATCGGGCGATCCGGTCCAATCTGGTAGCATTTCCAGGCAGGAGCATTTCACCCCTGCCTGGATGATTGAGAATCTCCATAGACATAAATCTTAGAAATCTTAGAATTTTTTGAGCTGGTGAACTAAATCCATATTTAAAGGCTGCTTCTCCTTTTCTCAACTTCTTGACACAGTTGTATTCACCGCATATTTCTGCACCATTAATGGAAAGCCAGCATTATTCTTTAGCACCCGTTGTCAGCTTTCTCCATGTGAACTTACTTGGCCTTTGATCTCTTGACACTGTTCCATTCCTCTTGAATGAAGTGCCTTATATTTTCAGTTTATGAACCTCATCACACTCTTGTCTCTTTGAGTTAAGTAAATTGATAAAATATGACAACTACCATAGACTGGATATCTTACTTTCGTGATCATTTTATGCCTTTTTCAGGATGTTCTCTGCAACAAGGTGGAACCACACCCTTTATTTGTATGAATTATTTATATGATTGTTACTTTGGGTTGGAATAATGGAATCAGATAAAAAATATTTCATACACATACCCTATTTGGGTTTAATCAGCAGCTTCCACTACTTGACAGCTCTAAACAATCTAAATACCCATGCTTTTATAGTTTAGGGGTAGTTAAATCTGCCCAAGTTTTTTTGTGTATTATTTGTTAAATGTTTTAAACCATCCTATAATTGAAGCTCTCTAGGTGGTTCATAATAAACATACCCAAAGAAACAAATACAATTTGAGCTAAAACATATTGAATAAAATAAAATAAGAATAAAACCAAGAGACCATACAAACTAGACAGCAGCAAGGCTAACATCAAAATGTAAAACAATCTGGAGAGTGTTTCCTATTTTCCCAGTATGACAATTATTTATCCTGCTTCCACATGAGAATGCAACATCTTTTTGAAATGCCACCTGAAAATCATCATAATTTTTATTCTACAGAATACATATTTTACACACTACTTTTTAGACTTGCACATTTGAAAGCAGTTTCTCATGTATGGTGTTTTAATGTCATTTGCATTAATTTATGTGTTGGGTACATGTTTTGCTCCTCATATGTATTTCTGCATGACTTTTGCGAAGTACGATCTGCTCCCAGTGAATATCAAAATACAATAGCGTTCCACTACATGAATTGGTCAGAACAATGTATTTGTATGAAATTGAACAATGGTTTCCAGCGGTGTGTGTGGTGGTGTTGGGGGGGGGAGAAGGGTGGACAGACTGACAAGAATAAGTTTCTCAATTGGCCTCATTTAATCTGATTGAACAAAAGTTTGATTGCATTTCACTGCCTAATGATTTTCTTGTTTGGAATAACAATGTGCCTTTAATATTTTATTTATTTATTTATTTATTCCTTCCTTCCTTCCTTCCTTCCTTCCTTCCTTCCTTCCTTCATTCATTCATTCATTCATTTATTTGGCATTGTTGAGATAGATGCTAAACTTTCCATAGTTGTAGAGGGCATAAGGAATGGCCTTGAAGAACAGGTGAAAGAGAAGCTGCCAAGGCAGCAGTTAGATAAATGGGGCTTGAGCCTGGGCCAGGAATGTAATGTGAACAAATGTCTCAGTCAAGCCTGTCCCTAGTTCACACAAAGGGAGAGAAGGGGAAAAAACATCCAGATGTGCAAGATTCTACTCCTACAGCTTTATGATAAAAATAGTTGCTTCCTATATGGTGTTGGTTTCTTGGTCTGGGAAACCTTGTAGGGCTGACTATAATGCTAATCAACAGATAAAATGAATACAAGTCTGGTTTTTACATTTATTTATTTATTTATTTATTATTAAATTTATATTGCTGCCTATTTGCCCATGGTGACTCAAGGCAGCTTACAGAATATAAAAACATTTTAAAAAACAGTAAAACTAATAAAAAGTCAAATAAATTAATGTAATAAAATCCCCCACACCCCACACCTCCTGCCCCAGAGACAGCCAATCACACGAGCCATTTAATGGGCTCAATCCCGCTCTGGGTTCCCCAGGCCCACTGGCAGAACCAGGTCTTCAGCCCCTTGTGGAAGAGAATTAGAGTGGGGGCCATTCTAATCTCTGGGGTAATGATGTTCTAGAGAGAGGGAGCCACCATGGAGAAGGCCCTTCTTCTGGGTCCCACCAGATGACTCTCCCTCTGCTCTGATGGATTGGGTAGATGTGACCGGCACCCGGAAGCAAATCAGCAACCAATGCAGCTCCTGCAGGAGAGGTGATACATATGCACACCAGGGTCTGCACAAAACCATGTGGGCTGCTGCATTTTGCACCAACTGGAGCTTCTGGATGCTCTTCAAGGGGAGCCCCATGTAGAGCGCATTGCAATAGTCAAGACAGGAAGTGACTAAGGCATGAGTGACTGTGAGTAGGGATTGCCGGTCCAGGAAAGGGCATAACTGGCGCACAACTCGCAGTTGTGCGAAGGCCCTCCTGGCCGCGACCGTCACCTGCTCTTCAAGCAGGAGTCGTAAATCCAGGAGAACCCCCAGATTGCACACAGAGTCTGGGGTAGTGCCTCCCCATCCAAGACCAAAGATGGCAATTCTCCCTGAGCCAACGAACCCCATTTATGCCCTTTTAATGAAACTCATTTCCTAACCTTATGCTAATGCTACATAAATGTTTATAGTCTCAACTGAAATCTCAGCTAAACCTGATAAAGGCTGTCCAGAGTAATAATACAAATACAAATCTGTGCAGAAAGAATAAATTCCTGGGTAAAACTTCTGATTCAGGGGGACAGCTATAACTGTGTATTTTTGATAAGTTAAGGTTTTGGGATAGCAGGTGTATCACTTCACATAGGAAAGTATTTTTATGTGAAATGGAAACTTGCTATTCCAGAGAAAATGATAAATTACTGCAAGACTGTGAAATAACTTCCCAGATTTAGCAAGATCTTCAAACTGAGTCTGTTTCTTTGAGACAGAAGGTGAGTGTTCTGTATTCCTGAAAATGCTAAACTTTAATGCACACACTGAATGTTTCTATTTTCAAAAGTATCTTCTGTTTGGGATGAAGATTGTCTTATCTGTAAGGGACACGCCAATGAATAATGTCAGTAAAATCAGGAATCTCTCTAACTTATTGCAACACAATTCAGTCAGGAAGCCTAATTGCCCATAATAGTTAGATGAGTGGTTCAGAACTAGGAAATTAATTAATTAATTATTAAGTGAATTAGGGAATGGTGAGTCTGATATTTTTCTAGAATATTTCAAAAACAAATTGCAACTACTATGGCTAAGATAGCATAAGCCAAACCGAGAGCATCTTAAGAATTCACCATTATGCTTATCATATTTTGTTTCTACGTTTGATTTTATTTTTGCATTCATTTGCCATATATCTTTCATTATCTGAATTGTTGGGAGTTGCTTGAAATTGCAGCAGAGTAAAATAAAATGAAACAATAAATAAATGGTCATGCTTTCGTGTCCAGGAGACTAATCTTCATTATTCCCAAAGCAGAGTCTGCAGTATCTTTGTTTTCTTTAGCATGGAATCAAGTGCTGGTTGGAGTGTGAAATAAATTGAAAGGTCAAATTTTGTTTTTGGAAAGTGATTATCTTACACACTTCCTGCCATTGATTCAAGGTGTCAACAGGGTTTGGCTAAAATATCAAAATGGTGATAGCGTGATTGAAACTTGCACATTACATGTGTCGCATATAAAACCAGGCAGATTTTTGGTTGTATCATCACAAGCTTCATCTTGATTATTTTGATTATGATCTGCAGATACCCTGCACTGAGTTAATACTGAGAAAGCAATAATGCTGACATAACTTTTGATTGTTTTCATAGTTTTTCAGGGACAGCTTATATAGTGGTCCATCTAGAACACGGGTGTCAAACTTGATTGCGTCACGGGCTGGATTGTGACATTTTTTGCCTTTGCAGAGCCAGGGTGGGCATGGCCTGCACGTGACCTATCCGGCCCTTGGCCCAGGCCTGATCTAGAACTTGTTTTTAAAAATAATGGGATAAAAATGTAGCAACAACAATACAACAACAATGCCTAGGCAAGTTCATTCTGAATCAGTGTGCTCCTGAATGTTTGTGACAATTTTTCAGTGGAGATATCAAAACAAAGGCAATAACATCCAATAAGCCAGTAATTGTGTTTCCATTAGTTAAGATGCTATCTAAGGCTTAAATTTAGCATTTTGAACTTTGAGGAACATGCTATCAATATTGACCATTGACTAATGATTTGACTATATGATAATGATTTCCTTTCCCCCTCTTTCTGTTTCTTTTAAGCACCAAGCAGATTATCAAGACATTATCATTTAACAGAGGTAACTTAGTGGTCTTCGTTTCTTTGTTTATGCTATGCGCCTCTCGGTTAATGCAGGTAAATGGTTGAGAATTGTACTTTTGCCAAACATAAGAAACAAAACAAAAAACAATGCAATGCAATGCAATGCAACGCAACGCAACGCAACACAACACAACACAACACAGCAATACAATACAATACAATACAATACAATACAATACAATACAACAATACAACAATACAACAATACAGGTCTATATATAATCTCTTGTATACCCAGATTGAAAGGAACAAACACTTAGGCCACAAACGGGAACCAGGATTCAGGTGGCCTCAACAGCTCTTAGAGCACAGGTGTCGAACTCGCGGTCTCACGTTGCCATCATGTGATGTTTCGTGATGTTTTTTCCCTTCTCGAAGCTGGGGTGGGGGTGGCCTGTGCGTGATGCATCTGGCCCGCAGGCCGCCAGTTTGACACTCCTGTCTTAGAGAGAGTGCTAATGACTAGATGACTGCAAAGAAATAGAATCCTTCCATCCCCACCACCATCCTGTCAGCTGATGAAGCTTCTTGGATGAGAAGCGAAACATTTTCTTCTTCTTCCTCAAGGAAAAACAAAAAGTCCAGTTGCCTTTTGAAAAAGCACCTTTGAGACAACCATGACCCGGATGACTGAGAATCTCAATACAGAGAAGGAGGAACCTTAATTTTTGCACCAGAATTTTATGACCATGCCTTTGGATACTCACTATTGTGTGTTCTTTTACTTTTTCAATAGTAAATGGATAAATATTAATGAGCCCTGTTACAGAGAGCTAATCCTAAGATTCCCTAATGTTATGAGCAATCTGGAGTGTTGATCTCCCACATTGCATGTCAGCAGTAATACAAGCACCTGTGATAAATAGCTTTGTAACTGATTTCATCTTTTCATGTTACAGGATAGGATACCACTCCTGGGGTAACTGATCTCTCTTGCACTGTCATTCTCCTTCATTCTCTCTATCATTCCTTTCTTAATGGAGAGTGTAACTGATATGCTTGCATAATGTTAAGGGACTCATGTACGAGAAGGAAACATCAAAAATCATTCAACTATAGGAGTACTTTCAGGGAAGCACAGCTTTTCAGAGAGGTAAGGCCCTTTATATTAGCCCTAATGTAATATCTTTCACAGAAATTCACTCAAGTGTTCAGCCTCAAACCTGAAATGGTAACAGTTGAAAAAATATCCACCTGCGTATGGGTGATCCAGCTAGACTCAGCTTCAAAGATAGCAATAAATGACGATTCCTTCAGTGTCTCAGATTCACACAATGCAGCACTTATTTTCAATGCATCTGACTGCAATGTTTTAGAATTTAAGTCAATGACCATCAATAACTAACCTGACAGTTTCCAGTTTTCAAATATTAGTGAGCATGGCCATTGCAACAAATTAAAAAGAACACTTAGATGTCTTGTCTTCTCTATGTAAATGCATTATTGAGTTTCTACTGTTTCCTTAGGAAATTTCCATTCATCTGTGCTTTATATGTATAGAAATATTAGCATATGCATTCAATTTGTCTGCTGGTGAGAGGTGTGGTAGGCAAAGTGTTAAAGCAACTACCTTCTTACACGGGGGAGAGAAATCCATATATTAATTCTGTAGCTATTTTCAATGATTTTTGAAAGCTATTTCTGTAATTCCATTTGCATGCCTGCTGAGAGTACATCTTGTTTTCTCATGATCTGCTTGCTTGTGTCCCTTTATCCTCAGTTTCGAGAGGGAACAGCCCAAAACCCAATATTGCTTATTTCAGTTAATGTACCTACATCCTTCACTATCATTTCCTATCCTATACTAGGATTCCTAGTATAACAGAAGCCCCATTAAATTCTTTTGCCAATTTGTATTTTTTCCATCCTAGATATGTGGGATCAATGATATTTGGGGTGTGTGTGTCAAGTTAAGTCAAGGTGGCAGCCACACAATACATAGATAAAATGGTGAGGGCTTCAATCTCTATTGTCTTTCTTTGTCTTTTCAAAAGACTTCGTGAACTCTTGACATTTAATCCTAGATGTTTTCATCTTTTTGTTTTTTAAAAAATAAATGCTAGTGATAGCAGTTTGACACATCATATCATTTTCTAGGAAACAGGAAGTGATATATACAACCGATAATTCTTTCATGCCCTAAAAATGTACAGCTGCTGAAAAGAAAGCAGGACAAAAAAAGTTAGAGATAACTTACGAGGTACTAAAATCAAATGCTGATGACTTTCAGTTTTGCTATCCTCTTTTTACTTAGCTTCTAAGAATTGATATGTAGGAATTTGCCCTCTCGGCTTTTTTTTTTTATTTTCCTGGCAGGGCTATCATGCTATTAAGAGCTGTCTATCTGGCAGAAATACATCAAACTAGGGCTTTCCCATTGCATGTTGTCTGCTGGGAGCACCTGCCAGCTCCATAACTTTTATAGGCCCATGAACCCTGCCAGGAAAAAAAAAAGAAAGAAAAAGAAAATATGGCATTCCTTCAGCCAACTATGTACTACAACTCATTTTGCTTTCAGGCAAGAAGCACTGTTACCACTTCCTGCAAATTTATCCTGGAATTGTGGATTCTCAATATGTCCTAAGAATTCACTGTTAGTGGCCCATGTCCAGCTTATGGTTCCCAAGAGATTCTTGAGAAAAGAGTAAAACCAGACCAAGGTTTTTTTTTTCCTCCTGATAAAATAGCAAACACACAGCCATGAGGCTGGTTAGTGCCCTGAAAGCACTTCCCTGCCTTTTAATTAATTTTTAACATTGATCTTTGCCTCTTTTAAAATGGTATATACTGCTTTTGTGTTTTAATATTTTATTTGTACACCGATCAGAGTCCTTCTGTGAGGGAGATGGGTGGTTTTAAAATTTGATCAACAAAATAGAATAAGCAAATAATAAATCTCTTCCCACCAAGGTGCCCAATGTCCAATTTATCAAATTATTTTGGCAGATTTAAGAGAAAATCTCATTGTGTCTTCTTTGAAATAGGATTATGATGATAGTGGTGGTGGTGATAATGACATTGCTGCTTTATAACATACACAAGATCAATTTTGGAGCAGTATCCTTAATTGGTTTAACAGCAGGTCAGGTTTTTCTGAGAGTGTGATTATTAATATGGCTGTAATTAAAGGCATTATATATGCAGCAAATGGTATAATGAAGGATCCCAGATAATGCTTCCTATCTGTTCCAAACAACATTCCTGTTCTAAATCTGAACCAGAGTCCTTCAAATACAGTATCTGCAAAACTCAAAACAGAAATTCAGGCAGTGGCAAGACTGCACCCGCTCACTGTCATTTGTGCAAACCAGAAATGACTTGGTAGCATATCTGTGATTAGGCAAAGCTTGTAATTTGTGTTTGCTGTAGTCAGCTTGGTGGTATTTTGGGACAAACAACCACTGTATGCTACTTATAGTCTGGAATTCTGTGGCTTTTTTTTTTCTTTTTTGAAACTTCAGTTAAGTGGGGATTAGAGAGAAAGACTACTAAATACCATACAAGACTCCTAGTTGATATAGGTTTGGGACAATGAACATTGGACAGTCCAATTTTCCAAGTCCAAGAATATGAAGAAACTTGTCATATTCTTTAAATCTGAACTATATATTGGACTAGAGTTGTGCAGAGCTTTGATCAAACCAGCTTTTGAAGCAGATTGCCAAATCAAAATCATCCAACTTTGATCTGAAGGCTTCAATCTGGAGGTTGTCATGACCTTCTGAGCATGAATACTTATGCACACACGTGTGCAGAAAAGCTTTTTGCTGAAACAAAAAGGCTAACCAAATTAGGTCTACCTACTTTGATTTGTTAGTTCAAATGTTGAAGAAGAGTAGATGGATTTGAGCCATGGTCTCAGATCACATCTCTCCTGTAATCTGGACTATGGAGACTCATCAAATTGACACCAATTCTAAGAAGCCTGAATTTTAGAAGTGTACTTCAACTGAATAAAGTCTTCTGTCCCATTTCCTGACAGTCAACACTATGGTCATTTTGCATGTTTAGATTATGGTTTGCTGAATAAACCACATCAACCAAGTTCAGAAATAATGCTAAGCAACAATGTCTGGCTTCACACATGTCACTAAGCCATATACATGTCCAGCCCCTGTGGTCTCTTTATTGTTATTATAAAATCTTATCTTTTCCAATCTGCCATGCTGTAGATATGTTAGATTTCAAATCCTATAGAAATCCTTGGTGCTCTCTAAGCTTGGTGGCTTGCAGATATTTCATTACCCAAGTAGCAGGGGTGAAATCCAGCAGGTTCTGACAGGTTCTGGAAAACCGGTAGTGGAAATTTTGAGCAGTTTGGAGAACTGGCAAATAACACCTCTGGCTGGCCCCAGAGTGGGGTGGGAATGGAGATTTTACAATATCCTTCCTCCAGGAGTGGGGTGGGAATGGAGATTTTGCAGTATCCTTCCCCTGCCACGCCCACCAAGCCACACCACGTCCACCAAGCCACGCCTACAGAACCGGTAGTAAAAAAAATTGAATTTCACCACTGCCAAGTAGGTAACATCATCAGTTAAACAAAAAGCTAAAAAGAAAACAAAAAGTCCAGAACCCATTCCCTCAAGCAGCCAACACCCTGATAAGTAGATTTATTCCAGACAAACAATCAAGCAGAAAACAATAACCTACTCAAGGAACTATCAAGGACAAACCTTCACCATCACTGGCATGGCAAGCTACCTTATACAGATAGTCCTCAACTTACAATCATTCATTTAGTGACTGTTCAAAATTACAATGGCATTGGAAAAAAATGGCATTGGAAAAACTTATGACCATTTCTCCCACTTACAAGCATTGCGGTATCCCCATGATCCTGTGATCATAATTTGACTGCTTGGCAACCCACAATTTCTGAAGGCAAGCTGTTCCCCTCATTAATTGTTCTTGCTGTTAGGAAATTTCTCCTTAGTTCTAGGTTGCTTTTCTCCTTGATTATTTTCTATCCATTGTTTCTTCTCTTGCCTTCTAGTGCTTTGGAAAATAGGTTGACCCCTATTTGAGGCAGCTCCTCAAAAATTGGAACACTGCTATATGTCTCCCCTAGTCCTTCTTTTCACTAGACTAGACATACCCAATTCCTGTTACCATTCTTCATAAGTTTAAGCTTCCAGCCCCCTAATCATCTTTGTTGCTCTTCTCTGCATTTTTTTCAGAGTCTCAACATCTTTTTTATATGCGGTGACCAAATCTGGATGCAATATTATTTATTTATTTGTTCAACTTGTATGCCGCCTTTCTCCGAAGACTCAAGGCTGCTTACAATGCATTTAAAAACCATATATAAAAACATTAAAAATTAAAACATTAAAAACAATTAAAACCCATTCACACCATTCATAGCCGGATCTCGCTAGATCGCAACAGCGAGATCAACAGCCCCAGGCCTGCTGGAAAAGCCAGGTCTTCACCGCTTTTCGGAAGGCCAATAGGGTGGGGATGGTCCGGAACTCAGGACGTAACTGGTTCCAGAGAGCTGGGGCAGCCACAGAGAAGGCCCACAGTATAGCTGTGAGTAATGTGTGAACTAGTAGAGTTGTGGTGGCACAGTGGTTAGAATGCAGAATTGCAGGCTAATTCTATTGACAGCCAGCAGTTCAATCCTGACCGGTTCAAGGTTGACTCAGCCTTCCATCCTTCTGAAGTTAATAAAATGAGGAGCCAGATTGTTGGGGGCAATATGCTGACTCTGTAAACTGCTTAGAGAGGAGTGTAAAGCACTGTGAAGTGGTATATAACTCTAAGTGCCATTGCTGTTGCTAACCAAGTCAATGGCCATTGTCCATCTATACAATTATGTAAAGAAGACAGTGCAAACCTCTACTAAAAGATACTCTGTGGCTAATATTAAGCACAGAGTACATTTCTTTGAGTTCCTTTCTCTGTATGTATGTATATATATATATATTGCATATTGTGTGTGTGAGAGAGAATCTTCATTATTGTGATTTTCAGCAATGATGGAAATCATGCTGTTCTTTCTCTGGCTTTCTTGCCTTTTTTCACAATGTATTCTTGTGATCCTAGCCTGGTTACATGGGAAAGCACAGCCAGAAGGGATCAAAATTGGCAGCTGGGAATTGTTTGCTGGAGTGCTTTTTAGACATCGTAGCAGAAAAGCCATAAGGAAAAAGGAACAGTTGGAACAGCTTGACAGAAGTATATTGGATTGTGTGCCATCAGAAAATAATCACACAACATCGCATGGAGCCTAAACTGAACATAGTTTTCTTCAGTCCAAGAAAGAAACAATCTCTCTCTTCTTTTTATAACTTTCCTTCATATAACCATTCATGTACAATAGTTGAAAAATGTGGGGTTTTTTTCTAAAATGCTACAGTGTGGGCCTGGAAACCTATTTCATTTTTTTTTTTAAAAGAAGAAGTAAAATATTAACCTGAATGAGGAAAAGTCTTTAGTTGCCTTTTCGCTGAAATCAACCAAATGCCTTAATTCAAATGCTGACAGATCACACGTGTCAGCAATTCATTTCTGCAAATCAGGTGTAGAGTTGTCTTTCCAATGTTGTATATAATCTTTTTGGCTGTCCTCCCTGAACAAAAAAAAAAAAAAAAGCAAAACTTTGATGTCTTGATAGATTCCAAATGTTGGGGATATAACCAAGAGCATATGTATCCTTAATCAGCATTAATTGACCTAACTCATGTTAAGAATCTTGTGGGTTTCAGCCCAAAATATGACAATAGCAAGATGAGTCCAAATTCATGTGAATAAAATGTTCCAACTTCTGAATTACACCTCTAATAGCAGGCAATTGCATCCACCCTTTATTAAACACTCTATCAGGTGTTGTATACACATGACAGATATTTTTTGTTGTCTAATCCACATTTTAAAGGTCAAAATAAATTTTTCCAAGGGTCAAAGAATTTTGCATTTTTTCGTGGTGACCTCCCACTGCTACATAAAAAATACTTCACATCTGATCTTGTAAAGTTTGCCTAACATCATACAACATAGAATAACATAGAATAATAGAGTTGGAAGGGACCTTGGAGGTCTTCTAGAGTCTAGACCAACCCCCGGTTTGAGCAGGAAACCCTATACCCGGGATGGCGAACCTATGGGCATATAGGTGGCATGTGGACCTATATCTGTGGGCACGTGATTGTTGCCCTAGGTCAGCTCCAACATGCATGCATGTGCCAGCCAGCTGATTTTTGGGCCTTCCGGGCCCACCGGAAGTCAGGAAATTGGCTGTTTCTGGCCTCCCTAGGGCCTCCAGTGGGGTGGGGAAGCTGTTTTTGCCCTAACCAGGCTCCAAAAAAGCCTCTGGAGCCTGGGGAGGGTGAAAAACAGGCCTACCGGACCCACCGGTAACCTTTTTGCCATCATGTGCCAAAATTGGGGGAAGCACAGGTGTGTGTGTGTCACAAACATATGCACAAGGGGTGGGGCATGGGGGGCATTGAATTATGGGTGTGGGCACACACACGTGCACTCCCCCCACTTTTGGCACACAATGGCAAAAAGGTTAACTATCACTGCCCTATACCGTTTCAGAAAAATGGTTGTCCAGTCTCTTTTTGAAAGCTTCCAGTGATGGAGCACTCACAATTCGTGAAGGCAAGCTATTCCATTGGTTAATTGATCTCACTGTTAGGAAATGTCTTAGTTCTAAGTTGCTTCTCTCTTCAATTAGTTTCCAGCCATTGTTTCTTGTCTTGCCTTTTGGTGCTTTGGAAAATAGTTTGACCTTCTCATCTTTGTAGTCAATTACTTTTAAAAATACCGTAGAATATCAATCTAGGAACCTCAACTTCTAAGCCTCTAACCGCAAGCAGCAGGGGCATCAGGACAGATCAGCCCAATTAAGAGCATAAGTTGAAAAAACTCCAAGACCAAGAAATACTCATAGGTTAACCAAATTCTGTTTTAAATTCCAGAGAGGTTTTTTAAAACGGTTATATTTCAAACAAAATTGCTCCAAAGCACTCATTTTGTGAAAGGTCCAATTTATCACAAAATAAATTTACCAGCTATTTTAATACTACCAGGGAACCTTTTCATTGGTAACAAAAAAAGGGTTAGTCAGATGACCTAATATTTTCCATATCTGTGTCTTCTGATATTAAGTGGAGTATTGAAACTGATACCTGGATACAAAAATACTTCCACAATTTCACTCAACTCACTTAATAGCTTTCAGGTTGGACAAAAAAAATATGGCTGAATTCTGAAGTGCTTTATTTCAACCAGAATAAATTCCCATAAACTTATATTCATGTTCCTCAATAGTAATTTGTAACTTAGACAGTCAAAATCTTGAGGCATGTAAGTACCTGTGTTTCTCTGAAAATTAGACCCAATCTTATTTTCTTTTGGGCTCTGAAATAAGCACTAAGGCTTATTTTTGGGGGATGTCTTATTTTTTCCCATGTATGGCCCACTTCTTCTGCTTGCTTGCAGCAGGGCAGTAGGCCACGTGGCGCACCAATGCTGCTGCCCCAAGGTGGGAGGGTAGAGCTACCCCACGTGCTCTGCACTGGCTTACCTCAGGACCCATGCTCCAACACCTGCCTTGCCTCACAGTGGCAGCTCCAGCAGCCCCATCCATCAGAAACCCATGTGGCCGCCAGTCCACTTCTTGGGCAGCCGGCTGCATAGGCGCTTAAGTTGGGCTTATTTTGGGGGTATGGCTTCTATCAGGCGCATGTATAAAAACATGTTAGGGCTTATTTTCAGGATAGGGGAAACAGGGTACCTTGTATAGGTACTTATTTTGAGTTTCATGAATTCATGCAAATAGCATGAAGGAATTAAAAAAGGAAGATTTATATCAATGTTGGAGTGAAATGCAAATCATATTTATCTTCTCAAATTCTTCAAATAAATATTAAACCATATGTCTATATCTTTTTTTCACATAGGGCACAATCAGGATAATTTCAAATTTACCAGCTGAGAAAAATTAAAAGAGTTGGAGAGGAGAAATAATTTTTATAGTTATTTAAGGCAGACTTCTTAACCCTCCCATCAATAAATCCAATCAAAACTGCAGATTTTGGAAGAACTTAGACCATAGAACATAGAATAACATGGTTGGCAGGGACCTTGGAGACCTTCTAGTCCAACCCTGTGCTTGAGCAGGAGACCTAATTTAATTTAATTTAATTTAATTTAATTTAATTTAATTAATTCAATTTATATGCCGCCCCTCTCCGAAGACTCATTCCAAGTCTTCCGAGACCCCTCACCTATACCATTTCAGACAAATGGTTGTCCAGTCTCTACTTGAAAACCTCCTGTGATGGTGCACCCACAGCTTCTGAAAGCAAGCCATTCCACTGGTTAATTATTCTCATTGTCAGGATTTTTTTTCTTTAGGTCTAGGTTTGATCTCTCTTTAATGATCTTCCACCCTTTATTTTTTTGTCCTGCCCTTAAGTGATTTGGAGAATAGGTCAACCAACACAGACATTTTCAAAACAGCGGCACTACAGTATTTAAAACCTTTTCTTTCAGGAGCTACAGAAAATAGCTAAGGGTCCATGTGTGTTGTTTTCATGACAGGGAAGAGTTAAATTGTCCTTTCAGTGCTAAAAGAACATTTTGGAGCTTCTCATATCAAAGCAAGCTTACTCTTTCACATTTTTCATCTAGTTTACTCCTCAGAAGATTATGGACCCAAATGTAGGGGTGAAGTGAAATCAGGGCCTTGTCAGCATCATGTCGTCATTGCCAAATATATGGATTTCAACTTCCATGTCTTGTACAGCAAAATCTTCGCCAGAACCCATCTCTTCATGATTAGGATATCCTTATAAAGCACAGATAAAATCCAGGCCCTTGCCATCGCTATTATTCTGCCATTTCTAATGTGGATTGATAAATTCAACACAAAAGCCTTTTGGCACAACCCTATATACAGTCTGTCATGCTTGAGATGTGACTGTATATATCCCACCATTTTTATAATCCATTAAAAAGCATGTTCTGAATTATTTCAAGCTACAGCCAGCTGTCAGACTTCTTTAGGCTCTCTGAACATCCAGGTTCAGGTAGACAAGGCAGAAGGAGGATGAAGAAGAGAGAAGAAAATAATGGTGAGATGGTGGTAGTGATGTGAGGAGGAGGAAGAGGAGGAGGAGGAGGAGGCCCATCTGTTTGCACAGAGCAGCTCTGATCCTCCAAAAACTAGAAAATTCTCTAATTCTTCTTGCTCGACAAGAAACATAAAAACTCCAAATGATTTCCATATGTTCCATTGTCCTATTGCCTCCTTAATTCCATTTGAAAGCCTAACACTTAGCAACCTTTATATTGATGCTAAACATATTACATCAGCCCCAGCATCGATCTGTTTTCGACTAATACAATTAAACTCACTTCGGCATAATCCTCGTAAAATAAACATCATTGTTATTATCATAAACATTCCTGCTGTGCATCTAAGAAAAAAAATATTGCAATCCTCTGAACATCCGTTGGAAGACAGGGGAATCAGAAAGTGGCATTGCCACCACTCCATCACCTCCCACGGATGGGTTTTTTTTTGGGGGGGGGGGTTGCCCCCTTCCTGGGATTTGAGCACATTGTAGCTAACAATGAAAAATAATACTTCAAAAAGAAAACGTTGAAAAGGGAGGGCATGTTTGAATGCCATCCTTGCATGACGCATGAAATCTCTTGGTAAGAACAATTCTGTCTTCTGTGTTCCAAGCTTATAATTGTAGTTATTTTAAATCTGAAGGGCATTGAAAGAGTTAGAACGAACAGGCCCATGCCTGAATTGAAGTCTCTCTTTTCTTGCTTTCGTTTGTCAACCTGAGCACAGGAAAATATCGAATATAGGAAAACAAGTTGATATATGGCATTTTATTAATGAAGCTCACATAGGAATCATAAGTGGTAATACTCAGCTGCATTTACTGGAATTCCAATTCTGCTTATGCTATTCTGCTAGATTCTGTTGTCTTTAAATTAAAAATGGATCTTCAAAATAACAAGTGGGTTATTCTGCTGTCTTTAAATTAAAAATGGGTCTTCAAAATAACAAAATCTCAGAAGGAACAGGAATATCAGTGTGGACTCCTAGGTGGAAACACACACACACACACACACACACACACACACATACACAAATTTAAAGGCGAATATTTGTAGCGCAGGGTTGAAATGAAGGTCCTTGGTGCTCTCTGAGCTTGCTTGTTTTCTTGCAGATGTTTCATTACCCAAACTAGGTAACATCATCCATGCTGGTCTAATGATGTTACCTAGTTTGGGTAATGAAACATCTGCAAGAAAACAAGCAAGCTCAGAGAGCACCAAGGACACCTCATACACACATTTTTTAAAAAATCTATTTTATTTTTCTACTGAATCATGTTTTCTTTAAATATTTATTTCCAATAATTACTAATTAGAATGTTGGTTTTTCAATTCCTTCTTAATTTCTCTCCCCCTTCTCCAATCTCAATGCTGCAAAATAGGGTCTCCTCTATCTCCTTCTTTCAGGATAATCCTCTGAGGTAAATTATGCATTGACTTGTGTTAGCTCTCTGCCTGGCTTACATCAGGCATTGAAATACAACCATCCTTGCAGGCAAATTTGAAAATTGTCTTATACATGAAGTTTTGATAATAGTCCAGCATTGGATCCGTGCCCTCAATGAATGGTATTGCCCATTTGGCTGCTGCTAACTTCAGCAAGCTCAGTACCAAAAGTCACTTTGGTTGGATCGGTGATAAACTCCACCATTCTGCCTGTCATAAACACCTCACACTGAGCAAAAAACTGGGGAATTGATTCTGATTCCTCCCCCCCCACCAAAAAAAACCCTTTTCTGACAAGCTCCCATAGGAATGCAGAAGCATTGATTGAGCCACTGTTTGTTGTGCTGCGGTAAATTTTGTCCCAGTT